CACCCTTGAGCAAATTACCGAATGTTCCTGAATCTTCCTTCCTCGACTGCTACATGTGACATTTGAAGGGCTGGCTCACCTATAGGCACTGAACACATGGCAAAGTGTGTTATCTGTATGACACTGAGAAGTTCCTTAAACCTCTCTGTGCCTCAGTTTCTTCCTCTGTAAAATGGAAAGACAGCCCCCACCTCAAAGGAGTGTTGTGAGGATTAAGTTAGATAAATTTAAAATGTTGAGCAGTTAGTTTACACGTGTTAAGGGTCGATAAAGTATCATCCTGTGTGCTGAGGGAGGAGGAGGTCCCTTCCACATGCTCCCATGAGCCCTATTTCTGGCAAACACAAAGATTTGTTAAAGCGACCTCCTCTTGGTTACGTCTAGGAGGTAAGAGGGCAAATTAAAGAGATGTGAGAAGCAACTTAATGCGTTAAAATGGGAATACTAGTAGTAGTAAAGAGGATGGTGGTGCTGCTGCAATTATCCCCGGTACGAAAGTGGCTCTGTGTCCTCGTCTCCTTTATTTCTATAGCAACCCCCTGAGCTGCTGGGGCAGGAGCTACTCCCATTGTACATATAAGGAGTGGGGACACGTTCAGGGATAGCCCAGAGTCCAAGGGTTCTGCCCTTTAAAACAGTAGCTCCTCTCCATGAATCTGGAGCCAGGTTTAGACACTGAAATAAAATATGTACAACCAGGCCTCTCCAACTCCCTGCCCTCCCCGTCAACCTACAGAGTTATTCTATGAAACAAAAGCTAATCCTGCCCTCAGACAGGGGCTCCCAGAATCCAGGATGTTGGTTGGTCTCCACAACAAACACTTTTCCCGATGTGTGTGTGTGTTTGAAAGTCTCTTTCCAGGATTTGAAAGTCTCTTTCCATGTGAATCAAGTGCGGGACCGAGTCTCCCAAACTCTGTATGGGTTTGTTTGTGCCCCGACTCCCGCCATTAAACAGTGATCGCTCTCGAGCTCTCTTAACACCTTTCAGACCGCTCACGGGTTTTCTCGTGTTTCGAGAGCCATCTGTTAAGGACCACTCACGAGTTTTCTCAAATCTGTCCAGCCCTTGCCCTGGGGGTGCAAGGAGAGCCCCTCGTAGAGATCCACCCAGAAGGCTGTCAGGTGATATGAAGCAGCATGAACCTGCGCGTATTCCAGCGAGCGGAAAGAAAAAATTCCCTACGAGAGCCTGCAGAGTTTGTGCCGCCCATGGAAAAAGGAGTGACTTTAGATACTTATGTAAATTTTGTTTGGTCCCTCTTCATAGAGGAAAATTTTTTACGCAGTTCCATACGTTAAAAAAGTACTAGGAACTTTAATTGTTAAATAGTTGTTTAATTGTTTTTGTAACAACACCTAAAGTGCATTATGGTCCTTAGTTATGATGATTTAAATAATGAGCAGTTTGCCCAAACACATGTGGTCCCTGCTGTTTGTCTTAGAGATTTCTGTGTGGTCCGAAAGGTGTTAACTTGCTCTCCACCAATAACTGCTGTGATGGTTCCACTGAGCCCTCCTCAGTGAAAAAGCAAAGCAACACTCAAACTTCTGACCAACCTCCCCTGAAGCTGCAGAAGATGAGAACTAAGGGGAAAGGAGTTCGGCCCTCTGTGAGGTCGGCTGACAGCAGAGGGGGAGTGAACGTCTGTGATAGAACCGAAATTCCTATTTCACATTCTGATTTGGCTCTTTCTTTCACCATAATTATCCAGGTGGGAAAGTCTCCTCTTTATTTACTTATTTTTGTGTGTGTGTGTGACAAGGTCTCACTCTGTTGCTCAAGCTGGAGTGCAGTGGTATGATCAGAGTTCCCTGCAGCCTTGAACTCCTGGGCTCCAGTGATCCTCCTGCCTCAGCCTCCCCAGTAGGCAGAGACTGGGACTGCAGGTGCATTCCACCACACCTAGCTACATTTAAAAAAAAAAAAAAATTTGTAGAAACAGGGTCTTGCTATATTTCCCAGGCTAGCCTTGAACCTCTGGCCTTAAGCAATCCTTGTGCCCCCATCTCCCAATGTGCTGGGATTACAGGTGTGAGCCACCACACACGTGGCTGAAGGTCTCCTTATTTCTGCTATGAAGTTCTTTCTTTCCCTCCAAGAAGATGACAGCATGATTGCTGAGAAGATAAGAGGATGAAGCAGAAACAACACAGCCTGTTTCTTCATTTATTCATCGACAACGTTAGACTGTGGTGAAGTCCCAGAAACTAACAGTCTGGGGTGTAGGGTGGTGGTATGGGATAGAAGTGAAAACAGATAATTTCAAATGTGGATGCTCCATGTGATAAAGGTCTGTGGATAAGGGGTCACACAGTAGGGGGGCATCAGTTTTAGACTGGACACAGGGTGGGGGGCAGGAAGGCTTCATAGGTGTAATGGCCCCAAAGTCAAGTCCTGAACTTAGCACCCCCAGTGTGGGGAAGGGCATTCCAGGCAGCAAGAACAGCACATGCAGAGGTAGGGCAGGGTGAACTGGAACCGCTCAGGGCGCCATGAGAAACCCAGTGGTGCTGGAACACAGGTTACAAAGGGCATAAGGACAAGAGCTAAGGCTGGGTAGCCAGGCGCTGGCTCAGGGGCCAGAGGACGTGGTCTGTCCACTAATCATGGAAGGAAGAGCCGCTGTTGGGATTTAAAGAAGGAAGAGACTTTTGCTTCAAATGCTCGCTAGCTGCAGAGTATAGAACGGGTTGGGAGAACGGAGCCTGGAGAGAAACCACTTAAAAGCTATTATAGTGGCCCAGGTGAGAGATGGCAAGAGCCTGAAAAAGATCAGAGCCAGTGGGGTTGCAGAAAAGTGGATGGATTTGATAAAGCCTTAGAAGGGAGACTCTCACGTGATGAGGAAGGAAAACGCAAGGGTGATTTCCAGCCCGTCACAGGAGAGAGAGGCTGGAGGGGAGATTATGAAATGAGTTAGGTCAGGTAGAATTTAGCATCTGGGGTCCCCATTCCAAATTTCCTGCAGGTGACCAGCTCCACCTTTCTCGCCGCTCCCTCATGCCCACCTGGTGACAACACGCCTTATAAGGGATTAAGGATGGACACGCCACTTCTCTTTTCTGGACTTCAGTTCCACCTGTAAAATGAAGGGATTAAACTGACTGGGATAGAGCCCTTCCCTCTCCTCCCAGGCTGGGCTGAGGTCGCCCCTCTCTGTGTCTCGCAGTGTCTGTCTCTGCCTTACACTGTGTGGCTTTCACTGCCTGCAGTCGGCATGCCCATGTTCCCAAGGAGACCTGAAGTTCCCAGAGGGCAGGGCTGCCCCACGCCCCTCTGCATCCCCACCAGCTGCCTGCAGGTGCTCCCTCAGGACTGGGAGGCCAGTCTTCCTGGAAGTGAGTCATGTTTCTTCTTGCTGTCTCCGCATCCTTCTCCAGAACTTTTGGGTGCTGGGTCCAGGGCCCCTGGGCTGGACTTTATCTTGCCCCTTGGCAGCACCAAGGACGCAAGGAGAAGCAAGCTGATGGGAGAGGAAACATGGTGGAGTCCTGGCTCTCAGGGAGTTGGATCCAGGTCCTGTGTCTTGCAGGTGTGTGTTTGTGTACATACGTGTGTGTGCATGTGCACACATGAGTAGTGGATGTGTCCCTGTGAATTTTTTTCTGTATTAAGGTATATGCGAGGACTGCATATGTGTTTGCCTCCAGACGACCATGCATAAGTCAGTGTACACAGGTTAGCATCTGTATGTCCATGAATGTCAATGTCTGTGTACGTGTGAGGGCGTCTATGTTGGAAAATTGGTGTCTGTCCAAATGCAAGTGTCAGTGAGCATGTATATGTTCCCACATGCCTGTGAGCGGGTGTGCATGTGTTATACACATATACGCATGCATATATATGGATGCTAATGTGTATGTGAGTGTGTTGTGTGTCAATGGAGGCAGAATACAGTGTCTAGTTAAAAGTATATGTTCCGATGTCTGGCTACCTGGGTTCAAGCCCTGAATCCAGCATTCAAAAGCTATAAGCCCTTGGGTGAGTAATTATATTTTTTAAGCCTCGATTTGCTGATCTCTAAATTGGGGATAATAATAGTAGCTACCTTCAATGTCTAATGTGGGGGTAGAATGATACAGTGCCCATCATGCACTTAAAATAATGCCTATTAAATAGGGCATGTTAAAAAATGTTGGCTGTTACAAAGTTCTTCATGGCAGTAAATATGTAAGTGGCTGGGCTTGAGGGTCCAGGTGAGGCTCTCTGTGCGTGCTAACGTGCCTTTGGGCACATGAGGTTGACATGTGTGTCTGTTGGAATGCGTGTGCTGGTGTGGACGGAAGGCTCAGCGTGCACAGGGCCTGAGCCTGAGGGTCAGTGGGCATGTGAGTCTGAGTGTGGTCTGCCCGAGAGTGCCTCTGTGTGAGTTTGTGCTCTGTGAGGACTGCGAACCTTCCAAGGGAAGAGACTGTCTCGTTCGTTATCGTACCCAGGTTCCTGGACCTGGGACATAGAAGTTGCTCAGCAAATCTGCGTTGACTGAATGAACGATGCGAACTGGACATTCAGAGATTGTCACTCAGATACCATGCCCATTTGTAGAAAACAAAAAGTTGTAGCTAGCTAGCTGGCTAGCTAGATGGCAGTTGGATAGGTACATGGATAGATGGTATTTAGATAGGAGATAGATGGATGGATAGATGGATAGACAGACAATAGGTAGATAGATAGACAACCAGACAGATAGTTAGGGTTGGCTCTAGTTAAGTAGAAGCCCATGTGCTGGATTCAGGAAGAGATATTGGAGTCCCTGTGTCCCAGGGATTGCCGAAGCTTTGCCAGGGTAGCCCTGTGGATTAGCGTGGGGTTGCTCTGAAGGCCTACAGAGGAGGGAATCCCAGAATGAGAGCGCTAAACCCCTACCTGGCATCAACAAGGGTTTTTTTCCTTCTAATCTCTCCATGTGCATGCAAAGTTGTTTTTAAAGGAAGAGTTCCACTACTAAAAAAATGTCTGAAAACCTTGTTATAGTGCAACCCCTTTAATTCCACAGAAGGGAGAAGCCGAGCCGACTCAGAGAAGGGAGAAAGCTAGGACCTCCTGACCCCTCAGGCCTGTTCCTGCCACGCCACTGCCTTGGAATGTAGTAGGTATGAATCCCCCGGCTTACTATGGACTCGTCAGAAACAGGAAGCAGCTCCTCCCAGGAACCCTTCTTTTTTAGAGAAGCTACTATCACAGTGGCTATGTGTCCAAAATCCAGCCCCGTTTGTTTGAGACTTGTCCCACCAGGTCTGCCCCACTGGCTACGTGCTAGATGGTCCCACTCACCTGGCCCAAACGACTGTACCAAGGGAAGGACTCTGACCCAAGCAGCGACATTGGGTCCCCCAGTGCAATTTGGATGTGGAATGACAAGATGCTAGTCAGTCTCTGGTGGCCCTAAACTAGGAAGGGATGTGAAGCTGGAATGCCCATTTTTAATCAAAGCATGAGTGGTCAGGGAAAGCTGGCTTCAGACAGGGGAACATGAAGGAGACATCCACAGATAAGCACGCACAAAAGCTTATGTGACATCAGGAAGAGTGACAGATGAAATGACAAACTTTGGTGTCTTGTGGCTTGTCAGCACCCCCTCCCAGTGCTTGTGCAGCCAGGACATATCTCCTGCCCTTGGACTTTGTGCTCTTATATCCTTATAATTAATTCTGCTTTTGCCTGAGCTAGTTGGGGCAGATTTCTGTTGCCTACAACCACATCAATTCTGAACAAGGCAGCACATTGGAAAGTCTCCTCCAAGTAGACACACAGGCTCAGCACCCACGGGCCCAACCCTGGCTCCTGACATGTCCCAAAGGCCAGCTTGGCAAGGCCTGATGTGTAGCTATGGGAACGGGAGGTGTTCTCTACTTGTGGCATCTTTGTGTGGTGCTTTGCGAGGGCTCCTTAAAAGTGTGCAGAAAGGGACTTCACCCATCTCCCAGGCTTCACGGCTACTTTCCCATAGCGGGATGGGTGTGTCATTTGCTGCTGGGGCTCCCTGCTTATTCCCTGAGAGCAAGCACATCACTGTTTACAGCGAGAGGTGTTCTCTGGGGTGGTGGCATCTCTGCGTCAAAATCAAGCTGTTCCTGCAGCATCCAGCATTCAAGGGTAGGAGTATGTGTAGTTCTAGGCAAGTGACAGCATGCATGGGGTGTGATGGGGGACAGGTGGGTGATGGGGACCAGTCTACCCTGGAGAAGAGGCTCCAACAGTGGCCCCTTTACACGATCCCATGGCAATTGCTGAGACCATGATGGAAACATCGGAGGAAGCAGAATGAACGCAAAGGTCAGTCTGTTCAATTCATCATCAGTCAGAACAGGAGATGCTTGGGAAGGAGGCACGGGAGGAGCCCCTTTGACATGCTCACCCCACCCCCAGTGGCAGGAAAGCTCTTCCCTGGGGTTAAAATCATGCACTACATTTCCAGTAAAGGCTGGAGCCGCAGAGGCACCTAGAAGGTTTGCTTTGGAGGTGCCACTAACTCATGAGAAAGCCAGCCCAGGACAGGCTGACAGGGCCCCGCTATGGGAAAAGAGGATTACAAAGGAGCACAGAGAGTGTTAAAGAAGGTAAAAGCTCTTCCCTTTCCCTAAATCTAGCCTTGAGCCTGTTAATACCGAGACTGCACGATTGGAGAGGGAACCAGCAGTGCTGAGGGGTGGCTGGGCGCCATTGCCCAAGGGAATGTCACAGACGTCAAGGCCAGATGCTCAGCTGAGCCCTCAGAACAGCCAAGCCAGGAGGACAGTCAGGAGCATCATGGGCCAGGCCACCAGGAACCCTGAAACACAAGAGAGATGGCTGTCAAATGTCGGGCCCTGGAACTCAGCGGCAAATGCAAGGTGCCCCCCTTGTCTTTTGCTCTACCAGGATGAGAAAGACAGAGCATCTTTACTGTCTGGCCTGGGCTACAGCTCCGGGAGCCGTGGATACAAAGCTGTCTAATCACCAACTACCTCTTTCATTTTCCTCTGAGCACACAGGAATGCAATTTTTCCCAGCCTCCTTTGCAGGTAGGTGGGATCATGGATCCTCTTCATCTGGGCCAACACTTGCAGGGGATACTTCAGTTGGCAGAAGTTACCAGAAGGTATTAGGAGCCTGAGGTCCTGCATGGAGCAGGACTGCACCTTACCTGCCCCCCAATGATTTGATGGGAAACGATACTTTTGTGTAAAGGCACAGGAGATTGGGGGCTGTTTGTTATAGCAGCTAGCATTACTTATACTGACTAACACTAAAGAGGCAGAAAGATTTAAAAGCATCACCTCTGAGGCCCGACTGTTAGCTTAGAATCTCAATTCTACAACTAGCTGGGCTGTTCTTGGCAAGTTATTAAACCTCTCTGTGCTTGAGTTTTCCAGTTATGCAAAACAAAAAAATATTACTGGCACCTATGATCTCATTGAATTGTTGTAAGGTTTAAATGAGTAGATACATATCAAGCCTTTAGAACAGTGCTCGGCACATGGTAAACACTGTTAAGTGTTGGTTTTGAAAATTAGACTCTGTGATCTGGTCCGGCCGGGATCATATCTCTCTGGCTGTATAATCAGAGTGAATGAAGGGCATGGATACTGGATGACAGCTGCCTTGTATCAGAGGGTAGGAGAAGCATGTGCACCCTCCCACCATGCTACCAAATTATAACATCTCTCCCTCCTCCCAATTGCAAAGTAACTTGCTAATGTCCTAGAACTGGGGAGAGGAACATCATAATTTCCAGAAACATGTAAGCGTATGGCAACCAGTTCATAGCTATAAAACATAGGCTGATGTTCAATTAATCCTAAAACATCGAAAATGACTGTGGGAGACAGCAAACAATGAAAACCACAAGTGCCCTCTTGTGGTGGTCGACATCAGAATGACTCCCCACTCCTCTTCCAGAAGGCTCCCAAATCCACCGCCCACCCTAGAAATTTGTCCATTCAGCAAATTCGACTGGGGCGCCACACTGTTCTAGGCACTGTGCTGACCTGCAGAAATGAATGAGACTTGAGGTCCCTGGCTTCAAGCTGCTTTTAGTCAGAGCTTTAACCACTGTTGCCAATCAGCATTGCTTTTCGTAGCATCATCTGAATGTCAGCACTGAGCACAGAGAGGCCATCTTAGACCTATCTTAGACCTATCTGGGAAAATTTTAGAGTGGGCTCTAATTGGAGATTTGAGGATTGAATAAACTTTTTCATGTGTGGGTTCACCAATAGAGGTCATTTTGGGGAACAGCAAAATCTAAACAGTGCATGCTTTCCGCATTGTCCAAAATATATTTCTAATACCCCATAAATATGCACAAACATTATATATATATATATATATATATATATATATATATATATATATTTCATTTGTCAGCTTGTTGAACTCCGACTCATTCATCGAAATCTGATTCAGATGTTCCTACCTGGTGAAATTCTTTCCAGACATTATCCAATACAGTTAGTCTTCTGTGTACTGTTTTCTGTATCTACTTGCTTGTCATTTGTTTGCCTATGCGCTTGTCTCATCTGTGCAATGAATTGCTGGTCTCTGAGCCTATATAGATCATTCCCCTAACATTCGCAGATCTGACTCCTTTTTGCACTTCCTCTGAAAGTCCTTCTGACCACTTATCTACTCTGATATTCACTCTTCCTTCCTACTTTGATAATAAAACCACCAAACATTGGCTAAGCACATAGCCACCCAGGATAAAGATTACATTTCCCAGCTTCCTTTGCAGCTCAAGCACTGGGCAATGAGATGTGAGTGGAGCTATGAAGTGCCAGCTTCCAGCAATGTTTCTGAACACTCGCTGCCTGCTCGTTCCCTCCATCCTGCTGCTGAAGAGGCAAAGGTTGGTGCTCCGGCTGCCACCTTGGCCCATGAAGGTGATGGACACACCTCCAAGACAGTGGAGGTGTGAGCTGGAAGGAGCCCGGATCTTTAATGACATCGTGGCGTCACCCTACTAGCCTTGGATGGCTTCCCTCTAGACTCAACTTATGTGTAAGAGAAATAAACTTCTATCTCATTTAAGGCATTGTTACCTTGCCAGTAACCTTTTATTTCTAAATTTCTCTATTTACTTTTTATTGTCTATTTCCCTACATTGGAACATAAGCTCTATGTGCGCAGGTGCCTGGTCTGTCCTGTTCACCATCACATCTTCAGGTATAGAACAACACCTGGCACATAGTAGGCACTCAATAAATATCTGTCATTAAAGGGCTGCCTCCTCTGCTAGACTGTGAGCATCTCAAGAGCCAGTCTTGGTTGTGATTCATGTCAGTGTCCGTCACAGTTGTTAGCATAGCGTCTGGCATAAAAGGGGCCGGATAAATGTGCGTGGAATTGCAAAGAGGAAGAGAGTTGGGAGGGTTGTGGGAAAGGCCTGAGAAGGCGGTGTACCTGCAGTGCTGGGGGTTCCATTCATGACACTGAGAGACTGGGCACCTGTGAACAAGAGGAGAAGGTGAAGGTTTCCTCAGTCCTGATCCGGTGACTGCAGCACTGAAGCCACGGCGGCCCCAGGCCTCGTCATCGCAACCACTGACAACCCACATTGTGGAGGCATCTGTTACCTGGCAGGCACCTTTCTAAACACATTGCATGCATTTTAAACTTAATCCTCCTAACAGATTTGTGAGGAAAGTATTCTCATCCCCATTTGCCAGACAAGAAGACTGAGGCTCAGCGACACTAAAGGACTTGCCAAGTTGACCTTGCCAGTCAGTAGCAGAGCTGGGATTCAAACCCCAGTCAGTGTGTCTGATTTGAAAGCAGAAGTTCCTAATTGCCCCCCCACCCCAGTTTACCCTGTGACACCACATGAAGCTAGCTTCAAGTTCAAGGCTCAGTAAAAGGGTAGAACAATTCAGGGTGGAGTTGTCGACTCAAGTAAGCCTCCATTTGCTCATCTGGAGAATGGAACTGGTAACAGCACTTACCTTGGGCTGTTGTACATATTCAAAGTGACAATACATAGAAAGATGTTTGGCACAGTGCCAGCCACAAAGACATTATTATTGTTGCTACTATTTTTAATATTACCGTATCTTTTTTTTTTTTAGGGGTAAAAAAAAATGCTTTCATTCTTTTAAGTTTCTTGACTCCTCCATTCTGGGGGAAATAAAAACCATGACAGTACTGCTCATCTGTGAGTAGGGCGCATGAAAATTTGAGGAACAATTGGAAAGCTTCCCCTATGTCATACTCCAGAATACTCTGAGTTTTGGGGAACACAGTCACTCCCTAGGAAACAAAGCTGCATTCACGTGGGAGTTAGGACTTAGACTTCACCCCAAAGGGTCTGAGTTCTGGGGGCCTGGCCGCAGGTGCTTTGGAATCAGACTGAGCTGGGTTCCATCCTAACTCCAGCCACTCACGAGCAGGGTTATCTTAGGGTGAGTCACTTAATCTCTGTGCGTCTTGGCTTCTCACCTGTGAAATGGACACAGTCATGGGAAGATTAAGGGAACTGACGGGTGCAAGAGCTTAGCTTGGCCTCTGGCACACAGGAGGTCCACCACCAACGGCAGTGCTATTATTGTTACCCAGAGCACCCCATGGAATAGATTCGCCTGTGCAGGCCAGACTGAGGGGGTACAAAAGCCCTAAGGAGTTGAGCTGGTGACCCCAGGCATCTGCGTCAACACTTGGCTGGCTGGTCTTGTCACCAGGCCTTGAGCACTCACCTCTCCGGGCGATGGGTCCCAAATCCAGAACCCGGGCTAAGTCGATGGCCAGTACTTCACTGCGGACTCGATTTCTTGAGCAAGACTGCAGGAATGGAGAACTCTCATTACATCAACATTTAAATGCAGGATTCCCATGCACACTGCCCCTGCAACGGGCAGCTCTGGCCCCAGAACTGGGCCCCACCCACCCTCTGTCCCTGATTCTGATGCTATGGCTATCTCAATCTAGAAAATTCTCACTGTTATGCCAAACAAATCTGGGTTCGAAGCTCATCTCCACTTTCTTCTAGCTGTATAATTTGGGGGAAATGACTTCACCTCTCTAAGATGACTAAATAGTACCCACCTGATTGTGAGGATTGAAGTCAGTTATGTCTGCCCTACATGGACATTTAGTAAGCACCTACTAAATGCCAGCTATTCACGGGCAGTGCCAAACGGCAGTGAGAACACAAGGGGGTGGGCACCGGAGTCACCTCCCAGCTGGGGCACATCCGACTCTGATACTTCCTAGCTGTGTGCGGGCCCTGGGCAAGGACTTCTCAGAGCCTCAGTTTCCTTACAATGGGGCTGATAAAAGAATCTACTTAAAGGGTTGTGGTGGAGGTTAAATTAGGTAAGGCATGTAAAAGTTTAGCATGGCGCTTTACAGAGTAGGCACTGAAAAAGTCAACTATTATTATAATCGTTTAAAACATCTCTTGTGCCAAGGGAACCTAGCAGACAGTTTTCTTCTGATCTGCCTCCTGGGGACAAAATAATTGTTTACAAATGGGCTTTTAGGAAGCCTAAAGTCCATCTATTCGTTCTTTGTTCTTCTCTCCCTCATGTTCATCCCCTGTTCATCCATCTTTCCTTCCTTCCTTCCTTCCTTCCTTCCTTCCTTCCTTCCTTCCTTCCTTCCTTCCTTCCTACTCCTTCCTACCTACTCCTCCATCCTTTCTCCTACTTCCTTGCTCCTTGCTGACTCCCTGCCTCCCTCCCTGCCTCCCTACCTCCCTACCTCCTTCGCTTCCTTCCTTCCTTTTTTCCTCCCTCCCTCCCTTCCTCCCTCCCTTCCTCCCTCCCTCCCTTCCTTCTTTCCTTCCTCCCTCGCTTCCCTCCTTCCTCCCTCCTTCCCTCACTCCCTCCCTCCATCCATGATCCCAATAACTATGTATGGAAGGCCTATCAGTGCCAGGATCCCACCCGGCTCTGAAGAGTCCAGTCCAAAGAGGCACTCACAGGCTCGCACTGTTCGTTAAGGGAATCACAGAGATGGATCTCACAGTGCAGGAACACTAGGTCATAATGTCCAGCAAACATGAACATCTGAACTGAGAACCGGCTTTCCGAGGACCTCCCATTCTCTTCCACATGGATAGTTGAATCATGTTCATTTGGGCAGCTGGGTGGGGGAGTGACAGGGGCAAGGGTATAATGTCTAAAACCAGCAGCAGAGAAATCAAAGAGCCCTCCAGGTTCCCTCCGTTATGACAACACAGACTCTTTTCTATTAATATTGCTCCATGTTTTCTCCAAAATGTTATCCATAAGCTCACATGGTTTAGATTATTTGGGGCACCGTCTCTGGAGTGAAACAGACTGGTTTTCAATCTCAGCCTGACCCACTTTCTAGCTAATTGAGCATGGGCAAGTTAGCTATCCTTCCTGAACCTCAATTTCCTTACCTGTAAAGTGGAGACAGTAATATCTACTTCATATGGATGATGAGAGCCTTTAGTGAGATAACCCACATGTACTGCTCTGCACAGCGCTTGCCACAGAGCTAAACTCAGTGGTAAATATTAGCTACTATTATGATGATGATTTGAGCCATGATCCATAGAGATGCATTTTCCTTTGTTCTTGTCAGTTACCAGCATTCAATAATATTTCATCTCATAACCTTTGTAATATCATTAAAATATTGATCAGTGTTTACATCTGTATAACATATAGTTCATCATTACTTAGTCGATCCCTTATTTTTGAACAATGAGCCTGTTGCCAAAGTTATCAAGAATACTGAAATGGAAAATAATTGACGTTTCTCTACTCTGCCCACCTATCCAGTATTTTTTTTTTTTTAATACTTTAGGCTAAAATCTCGAGAGTGATATTCCTGGGTCAAAGGGTATGGTCACGATGTGTCATGCAACTTGCACAACTGTCAGGCATGGAGAGACGAACATTTTCCTCCAGACCTTATCAGGGCCCAAAGACAACCCCAGAGCCACCCATCACCTGTTCCTGATGATGAAATACTTCACAGGGTCAGCCTTGTCCTCAGTGGGGGTGGCGTAGCAGTTCCTCAGCAGCAGGTTGAAGCGGGAGGTGTCCCCTCTCTCCAAGATGGCGCCCACGTAGAGCATGGATTCCACGGACAGCACGGCCCGGGCCCCCTCGTAAGGATTCGTGTAGTTCCCGTCTCGGAAGAGCGCCATCCTGACAGTGAACTCTCCCTCCCCATCCACGCTGACATTCAGGGAACTGCGACAAGGACAGGCGCAAGAGTGGAAACATCAGTTTCTGACCAGAGAGAACAACATAAACCAAGCCCCGCCTTTGTGGAAGCAAAGACACCTCTTTGATCCCTAAACGAACTATCCAATCATTCATTTAAAGCAGGCATTCATTAACTTCTAGGCACTAAACTGGACAGACAGAGGAGTGTGTCTGCGGGATTTCCACCAATCCGCCCTGCGGGGCGGGTCACACAGTCACACATGTGTCCCTGGCTCGGGGAATAGCTGAGTGCACGGCTCCATCTTCCCGCCGGGAGAGTGGGGCTTGCGACCAGGTCTGTGGGTTCGTGATTCTTAGCGGCAGGTCTCTTCCCTCCACCTCACAAATGGTAACAAGATAAATGGCTTTCATTTTGACTTTTGATAAACCAGGGGCCCCAACATCACACAGTCTGAAAACCACTAAACTAGAAAAGTTCTGATTCTCCCGAGCCTGCCATTCTGTGAGACCAGGAGGCAACAAGGGAATGGGAAGGGCACTCTGGATTTCTGCCACCCAGAAAGTCCCCTGGCAAGTCTCAGAATGCTAAGGAACACTGATTCAACGGGACCCAATTTGAGGCACAGAGATACAACAAAACAGACAAAAACCCCTACCCAGATTCAATCCTACCCAAACTGCTATTCGGTTATATTTTTGGTGGGAATGAGGGCACTGTTTATCCAACCAAAGCTAGTCTCTGCTCAAATCCCACATTTGCAGGGAAGTCTTCCTGACCTTCCCCCACCCCACAAATACTGGGTCTGGGAGTCCCGTCCCCAGCTCCCAAAGCATCCCGTGTTTCTCC